GAAATGTACCAGAAGGAGTGGACCGATATTGCCTATTTCCAAACTCGATCTAAGATAGACAATAATATTGCGATATACCGGATAATATAGCAAATTGGATGCACCCTTGTAGAGTTATCCTGCGCACCAGCCAGTCAGACAGGCAGACGGGCTGACACCCCTAGATCAACTCCAAATGTACTGAAACGGATTTGGTCCGAAGAGACCAAATCTAAAATTGTTTTTATCGATGAGGCACATTTTGGAGGCATAAAGGTTAAATAACTGTCGGCAAAACCGACTTATACTTTTTGACTTTTGATCTATAGTTTTGTATTTCAAGCCCTCTGTGGGTAACCAGAGCAGTGCTCCTATGGTGGTAGATGCTGATCATCTGAAGAAACTTTGTAAGGATACGTGTCGTTCGAATATCTGACTTAGCCTATTGATGAAAAAAAATCAAAAGTAATTGTAAAAGTATTCTAATTTGTAATTTGTCTCTCGTGGCGAACTTCTGAATAAAACTCTCCGATGCGCGAACTGATGTTGACAGAGGGAATATTAAAGATCGTGTCACTTACATGATTGTCACAGAATTGAGGGATGCCGAAGCTAGAAACAACCTTATTTTTCTTTATTTGTAAATTCGGCTTTCGAATTTTCTCTCTCGCATCACTTTGAAGTTTCCTTGAATACCGAATTCCCATGTGGATGGTGTCCATATAGTTTTTTTTCTCCATCTATTGGATAGTTGTTTACTATATACGTATATTTAGATCAGCACCTTGTGCGTGATATTTTGTCAGCTTTGAGACAAAATATTTAAGGGATTTACCTCCAAAGAGTTGGAATATGTAATAGAAACGGATATGCCTTTAGAATTCACTTTAAGAATGGAATCAGCAGCACTGATACAGATTGTAGCAAAAATGGTTACTTTACACTTCACCCTATGATAATATATTATGAAGTAGATTTTTATACTCTCCACCTTGGGAAGGAGGGTATATCATTCCGTTGGCAACATCCCTAAATATTCGTCTTAGACCCCATAAAGTATATATATATATATACATATATATATATATATATATATATATATATATATATATATATATATATATATATATATATATATATATATATATATATATATATATATATATATATATATATATATATATATATATATATATATATATATATATATATATATATATATATATATATATATATATATATATATATATATATATATATATATATATATATATATTATCATAGGGTGAAGTGTAAAGTAACCATTTTTGCTACAATCTGTATCAGTGCTGCTGATTCCATTCTTAAAGTGAATTCTAAAGGCATATCCGTTTCTATTACATATTCCAACTCTTTGGAGGTAAATCCCTTAAATATTTTGTCTCAAAGCTGACAAAATATCACGCACAAGGTGCTGATCTAAATATACGTATATAGTAAACAACTATCCAATAGATGGAGAAAAAAAACTATATGGACACCATCCACATGGGAATTCGGTATTCAAGGAAACTTCAAAGTGATGCGAGAGAGAAAATTCGAAAGCCGAATTTACAAATAAAGAAAAATAAGGTTGTTTCTAGCTTCGGCATCCCTCAATTCTGTGACAATCATGTAAGTGACACGATCTTTAATATTCCCTCTGTCAGAGAGGGCTTGAAATACAAAACTATAGATCAAAAGTCAAAAAGTATAAGTCGGTTTTGCCGACAGTTATTTAACCTTTATGCCTCCAAAATGTGCCTCATCGATAAAAACAATTTTAGATTTGGTCTCTTCGGACCAAATCCGTTTCAGTACATTTGGAGTTGATCTAGGGGTGTCAGCCCGTCTGCCTGTCTGACTGGCTGGTGCGCAGGATAACTCTACAAGGGTGCATCCAATTTGCTATATTATCCGGTATATCGCAATATTATTGTCTATCTTAGATCGAGTTTGGAAATAGGCAATATCGGTCCACTCCTTCTGGTACATTTCCACTAACACAAGAGCTGGTGTGAAGATGAAATATATCGGCTCACTTCTTCTGGCACAATCACCCAAAAATGTCAGCAATTTTGAATAATTCTGACATGAGAAACAATTCCGTTATTTTCAATTTATTATTTTCAAACTTGTTAAACCCCACAACGGGTCAACATGTTGAATATTATATCTCTTACAAAATGCGAAATAAGCAAAAGATGGAATACAAAGGGATCAATACTATGAATTACCATTAAAATCATAAAACTTGAAATTATCCGATTATTTAAAACTCAGCATATATCTATGTTTCTATCAACATTACATCTGTTGTAAAGATGGGGGGAGGTACCCCCCACAAAACAAGTCAGTGATTACCTTCAAACTTGGTAAATCTAAATATCTCTCTCGACCAAGGATATGATATGAATAAGGAATCTACCACCTTTTGGTACCTCACGCATGACCTGGCACCCATATAATGAGTACTGGGATGTGTTAAGAATAGTTTTTGTTTGAATTTATACATTCCAATACAGTTTTCGAATTCACAGCTTCATTGCAAATTGTGACTTTTGTGGGTGTGGTACCAGAGAGGATTCGCAGCAATATGTCATCTTCACAACAGACCTTGTGTTAGCAAAAATGTTTGTCTGTGTGAAATTTGAAGACAGTTGGATGCTTGTTTTGCTTTCTTTAAGTGTTTTGTTATGTACCCTATGTGGGGGGAGGTACCAGAAGAAATTATCCGATATATCCCATCTTATTAACAGATCTTGCGTTCATAGAAAAATTCAGATTTTATAATCGTTTTGGTTATTCAACACATTTTCCCTTTGCGTGGGAGGTACCAGAATGAGTGGTCCTATCTGGAACAACTTTATAACATATCTTGTGTTGATGGAAATATTGAGATGTAAAAAGTCTGAATGTAATCGGATTTTAATTTCGCGTTTTATGAGCTTCATGGTTATTCAAAATTTTTAACCGTTGTGGGGGAGGTGCCAGAAGGAGGTATATCGATATATCTCATATTCACACCCGATCTTTTATAAACAAATATGTTGAAATTTAAAAAAAAATCGGACTCTTCTTTCACATTTAATAAGATTCAAAATACTGATCCTTGTGGGGGAGATACATGATGGGGTGGGCCAATATTGTCCATTATCGCAACAGACATACCACTTATACAAATATTGAAATTCGTAAAGTTTGAGCAAAATCGAATGATTCTTTCTCTTTCTGTGAGGTAAATTATGTTCTTTGAAAATGTTGACCTTTTGTGGGGGAGGTACCAGAAGGAGTGGTCCGCTGTTTCCCAATCTTCACAACAGATCTTGTATTGACAGAAGTATTTGGATGTACCGAGTTTGAAAGTAATCTATTCAATCCGATCTTCTTACCAGACTTTGTGTTAGTGGAAATATTGACATGTTCGAAAGCTTTACAAAAGTTCTAATTATTCAAAATGTTGACCCTTTGTGTGGGAATTACCAAAAGGAATGGTTCGATATATATACCAGATCTTGACTAAGTAGAAGTATTGGGATGTGTGAAATTTGAAAAAATCGAAAGCTCATTTTGCTTAGTACGAGCTTCAGGGTTATTCAACATTTTAACTCGTTGTGGGGGAGATACCAGAAGGAGTATACCGGAAAATATCCCTCTTCACATCAGATTTTTTGTTAACAATTATGTTGGAATGTGTGAAATTTGAAGACAATCCAACACTTATTTCACACTTTTTTTGGGAGTTATAAATATTCGAAGCTTTAACCCTTTGTGGGTGTGGTACTTGATGGAGTGGGCCGATATTGTCCATTTTTGCACTAGACCTAGCACTGATGTAAATAATACGATTTGCAAAGTTGGAGCAAAATTGGATTATCCTTTCTCTTTCTGTGCAAAAAATACATTTTTTGAAAATTTCGACCTTTTGTGGGGAAGACCTTGGGTTAATATAAATATTGAGATGAGTAAAATTTGAAGACAATCAGACTATGACACTACATTTTATAACAGTTGTAATTCTTTAAAATGTTGACCCTTTGTGGGGGAGGTACTTGATGGAGTGAACCCATATTGTCCATTTTTACACCTGACCAAACACTGACGCAAATGTTAGGACTTGCAAGGTTCCAGCAAAATCGGATTATCGCTTCTCTTTCTGTGCAGAAAATATTTTTTCTTTAAAATTTTGACCTTTTGTGGGGGAGGTACCAGAGGGGGTGGACCGATATATTTCATCTTAACACCAGTCCTTGGGTTAATATAAATATTGAGATGAGTGAAATTTGAAGACAATCGGACTCTTATATCAAATTTTATAAGAGTTGTAATTATTCAAAATGTTTACCCATTGTGTGGGAAGGAACTTGATGGAGTGGACCGATATTATCCATTTTTGCACCTGACCTACTAAATTATTTTCTTTGAAAATGTTATCCTTTTTTTGTGGAGGTACCAGAAGGAGTGAACCAATATTGGCCATCTCCGAACTCGATCTAAGTTTAACAAAAATATTACGACGTATCACGTTTGAAGCAAATTGGATACTCCCTTCGAGAGTTATCATGCGCACCAGGCAGACAGACAGACCGACGGAGGGACGGACATCTCTCGATCGATTCCAAATGTCCTGAAATTGATTTGGGATAAAGAGACCTAGGGTCTAAAACTGTTATTTCGGTGAACTGTTATATTCGGCCGTATACCCCCTCTAGCCATATGACTGAGGGTATAAATACATTTTTTACTACAAACGTATTACTTAATAGGAAAATGTAATGATGTGTGTGTCTCTGTGAAACTTTAATAAGCAAATGGAGTATGACAATACATGTGCATGTATGTATGTATGTATTTATGTGTGATGTGAGGATGTATTGCAAAATGAAATGTGATTGTGAAACTTTTTTTCATTTTTTATGCCTTTTATAGATTTTCAATGTATTACACACTACAATATTGGGGGTTTAGGGGACACAAAACAAGGAAACGTAAGGATAACGTACAAATTACAGATGTATGTATGTATGTTGGTATGTAACGCAATCAATCAATCAAACAATCGAACAAACGAACAGGTAATTAACATGGATTCTCACATTTGCTGAAGCGATTTAAAGGCGACATTTTTTTGGCCGTGTGTTGTTTATTCTTGTTGTTGTTGTTGCTATTCAATTCTGTTTCTAGTTATTTTTTAGAGTTGGTTGGTTGGTTGTTTGGTTGGTGTTCGATCAATGAAAACGAAAGTTTGGCATGCAAACGCATTTGTGGCAATTAAAAGCTGGTTGTTAAGCACAAAAAACAGTAGATTTTTTTATTATTTAACAATAATTGTTGTTGTTATAGTTGTTGCTTTTTGTGTTTCGTTTACGAACTCGATTGATTTGATAACACTTGTTTCCGTTTCCGTTACAACTTTGGGCGACGTCGACACGTTTTTCTTTTCGTTTATTTTCAGGGCAATGAGGCAATTTATTTCCTTCTAAGGATTTTTTCCCTTGAATTTGTTAATTTAATTTGCACTGATTTTATTTGTTGTTGGCGACTGCCATATGTTGTTGTTGTTTTTTTTTTTTTTTGCCTTTCTTTCTCAGGCTTTTATGTTTATAATATTTATTATTATTATTTTTTTTTTTTTGCTTCAGAAAAATATAGGCTTACTTTTCTTCTTTATTTATTATCTGCCATTAATGCACGCATATACACACACGCACACAGATTCAACTGCACAAACACTTGCACTAATACACTCGATTTTTTCTTTCTTCGTTATGACGAGGATATATATAATTTCCCTTGCTGTTATTGGTGTTGCTGATGTTTATGTTTTATGTGGGGCTGTGAAAGAAATGATTATATAGAGATAGCATTATTATTTTTGTTAACATATTGTTGTTGTTCTTGTTGCTGTTGTTTGTTATCTTTTTATTTTATTATTATTATTTTCTTTTTTGTGATTTTATTTGATTTCTTTCCCGAACTCTTGTTGTGCGGTCTTTGTTTCTTTTTTCAAGGAAGCGGACAAGTGGGGATTCTTTCTTACTTTTGTTGCTTGTGTTTATTAGTTTCATAGGCGCCATAAAATGCGTCGACACATTCACACTCATAAATATACAAACATATTTGGTAAATATATACAGTGTTGCCAACATAGAGATGATCCAGTCTACATCGCACTGTCGAGCAGGGCATTAAATATTTTCTGCATTTGAAACATGCCAAAGGGAGCAACAAAGGATTTTAAATTATTATACCCTCCACCATATAATGGAGGGTATATTCAACTTGTCATTCCTTTGGAAACACCTCAAAATATTCCAAAAAAATATGTAAGTATATTCCTGACCTGAACAAAATTATAAGGCAATTTAGCGATGTCCGTCTGTCTATCTGTTGAAATCACAACAGAGTCCTCATTACTTAATCTGGAGCTTTGAAATTTGGCACAAAGCTTTATATTATATGCAGGCTGATTGGTATTGAAAATGGGTATATACTGATCCACATTTAGGTATAGCCCCCAAATAACGGTTCCTCCTGATTTTTGGCATTTTGAAGGTTTCTGCCACAATTTTTAACCAAATTATCTGAAACTTGACATTAAGGGTTCTTGAAAGGTCTGTCCTCTACATTCCAAAAATATATATTCTCTACTGTTCTACCTTACAAAAAATGTTCGATTTGGATCCAGTACTTGGTATAGCCCCCATATAACGTTACTTTGAAGGCTTCTGCAACAATTTCCAACCAAATTATCTGAAACTTGAAAATTGAGGTTCTTGGTTGGTCTGTTTCCTCCTTTCAAAAAATGTTTTATTCAGGTCCACTAATTGATATAGAACCCATATAAAGGTTACTCTCCATTTTCGGTATTTTTTATAGCCCCCATATAAAGGTATCTCCTGATTTTCGGTATTTTGAATTTTCCAACTAAATTGGCGGAAACTTGACTTTTGGGGTTCCTGAAAAGATTGTATTTTTTTTTTTTTTGGAAAAAAACATTCGCTACAGGACTACTATGAGAACAGCCCCATATAAAGGTATCTCCCGACTTTCGGTATTTTGAATGTTTCTGCCACAATTTCCAACCAAATCAGCTGAAACTTGACAATTGGGGTTCTTGAAAGGACTCTCCTTGCAAAAACTGTTCGATTTAGTTCTATTTTTTGGTATAGCCCTCTTATAACGTTACCTCCCTATTTTCGCTATTTTTAAGGTTTCTGTCACAATTTCCAACGAAATTATATGAAACTTGATAATTGGGGTTCCTGAAAAAAACTGTTCTCTCCCTCCTGATTTTCGATATTTCGAAGGTTTCTCTCGCAATTTCCAACGAAATTAGATAATACTTGACAATTGGGTTCCCTGCTAAAAATGTTCAATTCTGGTCCACTAATTTATGTAGTCCCCATATAAAGGTACCTCCCAATTTTCGGTATTTTGAAGGTTTCTGCTACAATTTCAAACCAAATTATCTGAAACTTGACAATTGAGGTTCTTGGTTGGTTTTTTTCCTCCTTTCAAGTAATGTTTGATTCAGGTCCACTAATTGATATAGCCCTCATATAACGGTACCTCGCGATCTTCTGTAACAATTTTCCACCAAATTCGATGATAATTTGGGTTTCGCTTTTTTATTTTAAATAAAACGGATTGATATCTAATTAAACATATTTTACTATTTTCATTATTTTATTTTGCTTTAATAATTATAGTTGTGGACCGGTTCGGCCTTTTTTTTTTTTTTTTTTTTTTTTTTTTTGATATAATCAAAATCATTTTCCGTACCAAAGTCAAAATATCCGTAATTTGTACCTAAAATCTAAATAACCATGCTCACAAGGGAAAGAAGACCAAAAATCCATATCAAAAATGAAAGTAAAAAGGGGCAAGCGACGAACCCAAGACGCAGAAGAATTCTGAAATAATTGCCAGACTATATCTTGTATTCGCAAATATGGGAGAATTTGGGCAACAAATGTATAAACTGTAAAGTTCTCAAAATAACAAGTCCATAAAAAAAACTAAAGGGTTTGGGTCCTAAAAAGCCTGTAGTATACCGGTGAAATAGCCATATCGATGAATTGAAAAAAAACTGTCTCAACCGAAAAAGTAAGTTTACTAAAGATAAACCTATAGAATCCGCGGTCCTACAACCTGCTCACTCTAAACAACCAGAAAAAGGAGTTCAAATTGGAATGAAACAAAACAAAATATATAAATGGGAAGAAAGAAGGGAGGATGTAATAACTCAAAAAGAAGATAAGTTCTGCCGGTCAAACTTTTAATACCCTCCTCCATTTCGTAGGAACTTGTACATTTTAAAAAAATTCCGTCAAAAACGTGTACTTACATAAGAAATTTGAACAATGTCGTTAAAATCATCAAAATACAGAATAATGGGAGGTACCGTTATATGGGATCGACATATAATTTAAACTGATCAAAAATGTATATACTTTGTGGGATCAAATATCTATACTTCAAGGTGTTACAAATGGAATGACAAACTTTATATGCCCTTCATACTATGGTGAAGGGTTTAAAAAGAGGGACTTGGACAACTATTTACTACCTCGAAACGAACGGTTGGAAGCAAGCTAGGTGAAGAAGGCCTTAGTATCTCGGAAGCCACCTCGATGTAATACCAAAGTGGTATCGAGATGGTCGCAAGTTTTTGATGTAGGCAGGTTTCACGTAAATGCGTAAATATAAAATAATTAATGCTACGGCGGTATTATCCGTTTTCACCACTGACCTAAGTCTGAAAAACATAATATCACGGGCCAATGTTAATCTATTTTAAGTGCATCCTTTAATACATAGCGCTTAAAGCCTTTATATCGATCAATCACATTCTGTCCATATATGACATATACTTCATATAAAAAAGTGCATGTGGACTGAAAAAGGGCCCCCTCGTCTATCAACCTCTTATTATTCCTTGACTTTTAAAAATTCTGGAGTTACGGAGTTTATGACAACTTTCATTTCTTACTAAAGCTTCATACAACTACAAAGAAAGTATATTCTCCAACACATTAAAGGTCAAAAGTAAAAAAGTCGCATGTCTCATATAAAACATCAGCAGAATTCGATGAAATCAGAACTTCAGATTGACAATATCAAACCACTCCTTTTGTGGCTCTCAGAATGTAAGTTAGTTAAACTTCGCAAATCTAATTTTTATCGTCGAGGATAGAATGTACCGCAAAGTTTGATTGAATAGTAACAAAACACAAGAAAGATCTCTACATCGCCAACGTGTGACTGGTTGGTGCAGTTTATCCGGTGGCCTCACTGGACCTTACTTCTTCGAAAATAAAATATCTGGTCTGGGAGTCTGGTGTTACAAGGGTCTATTTTAAAAATAGTTCATTGTTTTATGTAGGTTATACTGAACCGTTCAGAGCAATAATTAAACATGTTTGTAGACCGATGTAGGCCCTTCTAAACACCAATATACCGAATTCAAAATGTTGCCTTCTGGTGTGGGAGGTCTACCGATAATTTCCATCTTCACTCCAGATCCTGTGTTAATGGAAATATTGGAGTGTGTGAAGCTTAGAATAAATCGAATATTTATTTCAAATTTTATGATCATTTTGGTTATCAACCGTTTGTATGGGTAGTACCAGAAAAAGTGGTCCGTTGTCTATCATCTTTCAGACAGATCTTGTGTTGATGGAAATATTGCGGTGCAACAAGTTTGAAAGGCATCGAATGCTTATTAGGCATTTTACGAGCTTCACGGTTATTCCAAATTCTGGCACATTGTGGGGCAGGTACTAGAAAGAGTGGACCGATTTATCCCAACTTCACATGAGATCTTGTAATTATAAATATATTGGGTTTGGTGAAATTTGATGATTATCGGACTTTTATTTCACATTTTATTAGAGTTAAATTTATAAAAATGTTGACCATTACAGGGTGAGACGAAAAATCTTCAACCAACTTCAGACTGCTGTCATTTCTAAGCCACTAATCAGACAGCTGTTGAAATTATTCCAGTAACAGCTCATCATATTGCTTACAAGCGTACAAAAGCATTTTGGTGAGAATTAACCAGAAAAAAAGGTAATTCGTGATGGAATTCGTGATTTCCTTATATTTGGCTGGAAAACTACATGTGGCTCTTGTTAGAGTACTCCAGCATTTAAATGTGAATAAATCTTTTGTGTCTCGTACCATGGTACCATACCGTGATACTGGTAGCGTAGCCCGACGTCAAGGAAGTGGACGGGAGAAAACTGCAACATCAGCAGAAATGGTTCGAAGAGTAAAGAAGCAACTTGATCGAAAACCGCGTCACAGTGGGCGAAAAATAGCTCGTGAGCTGAACATCGCAATATTTCATTCGGCAAATATTCGGTCGCTCCCCGTTCGTATTAATCGACCGTCCATCAAAATAAATTGCATGCAAAAATGTTGGCCGCAGATCTTGGACATTCCAACAGGACTCAGCACTCGCCACCCAAGAATGGTTACAAAATGAGGTTCCTCGATTCATTTCCAGCACACATTGCCACCAAAATATTCGGATACCTTTCCATTGGACTATTGTGTCTGGAGTATTTTGGAAAACAAGGTTGTCATTAAAAAATACCAAAGTGCCGATCACCTCAAGCAAGCGCTACGCCGGGAATGGGCCAAAATACCACAGAGCCACATTCGGGCAGCATGTGACGGTTTCATTGGCCGTTTGAAGGCCATAATTCGTGCCAAAGGTGACCACTTCGAACTAATCTAAACTTATTCTAAAATTTGATGCTATTTTCGACATTTTTTGCTTTCATTCAATTAAATTTGAAAAAAATTGTAAAAATTATGGCCTTTGACTTTGTTGCAGTTTTTTTTATCTCACCCTGTATAGGGAAGTGCATGATGGAGTGGACTGATGTTGCCCATTTTCGGACCTGACATAGCACTGATACAAATATTGTAATTTCCAAATTGTACGCAAACTTGGATGATCCTGTCTTGCTACACACGATTAAATATTTTTTATGAAAATGTTGACCTTTTGTGGGGGGTTTGGCAATAATATTACGATGTACCAAGTTTGAATCGAATCGCATACTCCCTTCGAGAGTTTTCGTGAGCTCCAGCAAGCCAGGCAGACAGATGGTCGCAAGATCGACTACAAATGTTCTGAAACGGATTTGGTCCAAAGAAACCTGGGCTCTAAAACAATTATATCGATGAGGCAACTTTATTCCGTATCAAAATACCCTCTGTAGCCATATGGCTGAGGGTATAAAAATATTTTCACCCAATAATTAACCAGACACCGATTTCAATCTAGAAGTTGCAACACTTATTCAACTTATTTTAACATTTTCTAATTGCCTTGAAATTGAAGAAGAATTTCAAAATCCAATGTTTAAAATATTTTTCCCTTTTAAGTTGGCCACACTGTGCGAATACATCTGCAGCGTGTATAGCGTAATGCGTACAAATGTGTGAATTTATGAGTATGAGAAGTAAACATACGGCTGTGTGTATGTGTGTGTGTGCCCATATATATGAGTAATAATTGGGAAATAGGAAATCGTTCAGTGTTCAAACCTTAGGTTGTAATGTAAATCATACCTACGAAATAATTTCAGGATTTCGAATATAAAGTCCAATTATTTAAAAATAAAATCCGGATTTTGGAAAAAAGTTTTAAATAAAGTCAACTTTTCTTCAGTCCAGCACACTCTCACACTGTTAATCCATGTAAAGAAGGTCCTTCAAGGCATATATACACGAGTAGTTATTGTATTGGTATAAGTGTTAAATAAATGCTTGTATTATTGTTGTTGTTTATGTGTGCGTGTGGATTGAAAAAAACACGCTTTTCATCCATGACACGCACAACAAACTAAAGTCGAGATATTACAAAAACATTGCACGCACGTACGCACACAGCCACACACACACACACACACACACTCATACATGTATCCAAACACAAACAACAAACACTTCATTGTTCATTGTTCACTTCGTTTCATTGTTAAAACAAAAAAAAAACGTCGAGTATAAAAACAGGATTTTTCTTTATTTCTTTCTTTAGGCCAGAAGGAAAACTTGGTAGGAAATTTTCTTTGTTTTTTCTCTTTTTTCTAATTAATTCTCACTTTAAGGACTTTACTTCAACTCTCTTTTACACACGCACACGAACAAACAATTTGTTTTATTTTTTTTATTTCGTTATAACTTCTTTTCAAGTTCCTAATGGAACTTGACTTGGTTACTTTTGCAGAGGATTTAATTTCATTATTTATTTTCCATTTTTTTTCTCTTTTTGAAATTCCTTTAAATCATTTGTTTTCCATCTCTCTATCTGCCTTTCTCTTTCACACTTGTATACACTTTATGCAATAACGTTGTTCATCTCTGGCTTGCTGACTTGCTAAGCGCGCTAGAATACGTTTTCTAAAGGAGTACAATGAAGGACTAAATACTCAACGCAAAAAATATTGCCAAATTGCATGGATTCATTCTCCTTTGGCTTAAGGATATTCTCATGTTCAGAGATGAAGATTCGCATTGCAAGTTTTGCAGGGCTGAATAAGTTTTGCCAAAGCTAAATAGTTTATTTTCCAACTCGAGCTTTTCTCGCAACTTTGCCAAATGTATGTAAAGCTTTCTCTTTCATTTCATTTCTGTTTTGTTTTAGTTAGTTGTCTGAAAGCTTTTTTGCCAATATATATTTTTTGACATTTTCTTAACCATCTATTCCAAGTGAACTGTGCAGGTAAACCTTTTGTACATGTTATATACCAGAATATTGGAAACTGTTGCATGTGGACTTGATTCATAGACGGCTATTGAGGAAGGTCTGATCAGATGTTTTTCGATGGTACATCAAAATATGGGCAGATAGACATGTATCTATATAGAAAATTGTGGACGAGAAGAGATTGATTACTTCGTTGACGCCCAGAAAAAAAAACGGCTAGAGCTAGAATCTGGAAATTTGGCATATAGGTACCTATTGGTGGGCGATATGGCGAGGGTTTTGAAATATCATACTAAAAACACCGTTTTTGGATCAAAAATTACCCATTTCAAATTTAGGAGCAATATTTTCTACATAGATAACTTGGTGTCTTTTTTCTTCAATTTTTAAATGTAGGTAACTATTGAAGCGGGTTATAAGATAAGGTACTGTTTGTGGAAATTCCTAATAAAAAGCTATTGAAGAGTACTAAATGTTGCACTTTTACAGCCTGAATTCTGAAAATGTATATTTAGCACTGGCTGAGAGATGTTCTGAGAATGTTCTTCTTAAAATCATTCTCAAAAAACTTACATTTTTGGTGTTTACAAATGCATCGAAATGAAAGAGAAGAGCTAAAATTCGTTAAATTATCATGGATATTTACATTTAAAAGAAGTAAATATCAGTAAATCTTTATTGGAAATGTACTAAATGTAAAGGAGTTAAGGAGTTAGAATTCAAAAATTTAACACGAAGTCATTGAAGGGACGAGATAAAATGGGATTCCTGGAAATTAAAGCTTAAAGGAAATGAAGTGTTCGAAAAGTGAGTGATTTGTAAAAGATAGGACTTCGAAATTTGGTAAGAGAGGCTCTCTTGGATTGGATAATGTGACATTTTTGGCAAAGTACAAAGTACAAGAAGGTATTTAAGTGCCCGTACATGGTCAAAATGCGAAACATCAAAATGCAAGACATCAAAACCGTGTACGTGTGTATGAAGCTTTCAGCGCACATTGTTAATGCATTCATTTTGCTTTTGATTACGTGCTGTACAGAAATGTCGGTAACGGACTATAAAGTTATTATATTCTTCACATATAATATCCAAAAGTGCGGTAAATTTCCAACAACTCAATAACATGTTTTTTCGCTTTAAAAAAAACGTCACAAATGAGAATGTACATGATGCCTTTCATACGTCAAAATCTGATTTTTCTGATTCTGATTCTGAGTTTTCATCATGCATCGTGAAGCATAAATAAAAATTTTGTACGGGGCACTTTAAGCTTCAACTTTGAAATTTTAAAAGCAGATCCGCATTGAGCCTGTGAAACATGTTGGGAATACCAAACTCAAAGAAATCAAAAACCTCTTATTTCTACAAAATCTAATCAAATTTGTCATTCAAGGAAGAGGGACCCTTTAAAAGGCGGATGTGAAGAAATTCTGGGACAACCCTCTTTTAAGGGTACAAAAAGTACTTAGAGGTTGAAAATGAAGCAGCGTTGAAATGGGCGATAAACAAAAACTAAAGCTATGAAAGCCACACAAGAGCACGAAGCCGATCGGCTCCCAGTGGGTGCACAGCCGCCGCCGACTTTTTTAAGTCATCTGAACCGCTGATGTATACGGCTCTCATCGTCTCAAAAATGCGAAAAAATGCATGCAGCATGTTTGTATAAATATGCCTTTTAATCTTATCGATTAATAAACCTATTATTCCATAGTGGTAAGGGTATTATGTCTTTGTACATTTATTTTCTATTACAAAACCTTTGTCAACTTTTGTATCTAACGAATTTTGATGGAGTGGCAGCCACACGGCTTGCTAAAAAGTCATTGTGTTGTTGCTTGTTCATCAAAAGTAGGAGAAGTATTAAACAAAAATTTGCTAAAGATATATTAAAAACTATTTATTTAAAGAATTCTGTTAATGCAAAGACAAGCAGCCTGCATTCTGCAATATTAAACAAGTAAAAAAGCAGTAAGTTCGGCCGGGCCGAACTTAGAATACCCTCCACCATTTCGAACAAATTAGGACATTTTCAACAAATAAAAATAAAATCTATTAAAAATTCTGTTAAAATCTCGGAAGGTGCCGATATATGGGGGGATAAACGATATTGTGGACCTATAGAGACAAATCTATGTCTAGGGACACAAATAACTCCTTGTATAGAATTTAGGACACTTCTATTTAAAAATGTGGCTAAAATCATCAAAATACCGAAAATCGGGGGTACCGTTATAAGGGGGATATACGATATCGTGGACCTATACAGAGAACTCCCTGTTAGGGGGTAAAGTGTTCACAAAGAACCCCTTGTGTAGAATTTCAGACAATTCCGTTGAAAAATGTAGGTAAAATTATCAAAATTCTGAATATCGGGGATACCGTTATATGGGGGCTATACGATATCGTGAACCTATATAGATAATTCTCTTCCAAGGGATAAGGTATCCACAAGGAACTCCTTGTATGGATTTTCAGACAGTTCTGTTGAAAAAATTATCTAAAATCGTCAAAATACCGAATATCGGGGGGTACCGTTATATGGGGGATACACGATATCGTGGACCAATATAGGCACTTCTCTTTCAGGGGGTAAAGTACACAGAAAGGACTTCTTGTGTGGAATTTCAGACAATTCCATTACAAAATGTGGCTAAAATAATCAAAACGCCGAATATCGGGGGGTACCGTCATGTGGGGGCTATACGATATCGTGGAACGATATAGCCCATCTTCAAACTTGACTTGCCTGCAGACAAAAGACAGATCTGGGCAAAATTTTAGCTTCATATCTTAATTTGTTCTGCCTGTAGCGTGATTACAACAGACGGACAGGCGGACAGAAGGACGGACATGGCTAAATCGTCTTAGAATTTTACGCTGATCAAGAACATATATATACTTTGTTGGGTCTAAAATGATTATTTCGATGAGTTACAAACGGAATGACGAATACAAAAATATGGGTATAAAAATACAATTTTTTGTTCATGATAACAATGCGGCCGTCGAACCATTTTATCAAATTAGTATATTTATACCCTACACCACAAGGTGGTCAAGGTATTATGTCTTTGTGCATTTGTTTGTAACAGGTAAAGGAAGCGAGATAGACCCATAGTGACTTTTGAGGATCTCCATAGAATCACTTTCTGAGTTGATTTATGCATGTCAGTCCCTCCGTCCGTCCGTTTGTCATTGTATACTTGTGAACAAAATGCTGGTCGCATTTATTATTCGATTGACATAAAATTTACTAACTAACATTTGTTTGTGCCCAAGGACGAACCCTATTGAAATTGGAGATAATCGGAAATTTAAATATAACTCCCATATATACCTTCGTCCGATTTGCCTTTTATTGTGCACAAAACGTGTAATATCAGAATAGTATGGAATTTTGCACATACAACCGCAGCCGTAATATGCACTCCGTAACAAAGATATTCAGGGAAATATATCAAATACAGTTCAGAAATATCTTTGCCAAATTTTATCAAGATCGGTTCGATTTGGATATAAATACCTTTATCTTTATCCGATTTTAAATTAATTGTGCACCAAATGGGCTATACAAGTCCGAATTTAAAAGATACAAATGCTTCGACATACTTAGTCCTTTGAACTTTAAATTACAATTATAATCATAGCATGTATGATTGAATTCTCCCATAAAACTTTTATTTGTTATGTGGAGCTCTACTAAAATAGCAAAGAGGTGTAGGGTATCATAAAGTCTGCCCCGCATAAGCCTTCTCGTAGTAATATCATGCACTCTATCGCAATGCTATTTAGTATAAAAAAGTGTCCGCCAAATTTAGTGAAAATCCATTCACAATTGGATATTCCTCCTCATTCATTAGTTCCCTCTGAAACCAAACTATAAGTGCTCTAAAGCCAAATGTTGATGGGTGGTATGATCTACTTCAAAAAAATTTTTTTGTTACGGGAGCTCTACTTATAGTTGGCCTCGCCCGACTTTTGACTTTTCCTTACTGGATTTATTACAAGTGAATTACTAAATAAAAATAAAACAAACAAGTAAAAAAACATTAAGTTCGGCCGGGCCAAACTTTTAATACCCTCCACCTTAGGGTAAAGGAAACATTAGAGCCCATTATGACCCACATATACCAATTTTAAGACATATTCCTGGGAAAATGTGCCAAAAGTCATCAAAATACCGAATATCGGAAAATACGGCTATATGGGGCTATACAATAACATGGACCTATGCATACAGCGTTTCGCCAAAAGAGCTAGAACCCATTAAGACGAACAAATACCCATTTCTAGACAAATCCGCGAAGAAATGTGGCAAAAACCATCAAAACCCTTCTTTCCAAGGTGGAGGGTACAAAATATAATTTGTCTCTTTGATATACACTGGTGGCCAAAACTAAAGCAACTGAAATTACAAGGAAAATGAATGCCCTGTAACTTTTTCAAAAATTAAGAAAATGAGAAAGTTTTTCTTGTTTTAAATTAGGCACTTTATTCACTTTTTAAAAAGCTAAAACATAAAACCAAAATTCATTTTTATATAAAAAATAATGTTTGGTAAAACCAATTAACCCGATTTTGGCTTGGATAAAACAAGTAGTACTGCCCAAAAAATTTTAAAAATGGCTAGAAGCAAATACAGTACCTGAATAAAACAGCAAATTATCAGTGACTATCAAAACAACATATCACAGAAAATGTTTTCCGAGAAATATATCATAAATATTTATGTGATTTCATAATTATTTCTGTATACTAAGTCGTTTTTTTTTTTGAAACTGGATCAGTA